AGATTCCATAGGAATTTCTGTTAGACGGAACAATGTTGAATAAAGGCAAAAGTAGTATACCGCTGTTCGAAACTCATAAATCGATAGAGATAAAAGCAAATCCGGGTTACAAACTAAAACTGAAGGAAACGCATCAAATATAATAGAACAACGACACAACAAAAACACAACATTAAAATGTAACACACACAGAAACTAACTATAATATAACAATGGCCATTTTCCTGACTTGGTACAGGACATTTTAAGAAAAAAATGGTGGGTTGAACCTGGTTTTGTGGCATGCCAATCCTCCCGCTTTTATGGCAACGTCAAACACAACACCAAAACGACAACATCACATGACAGGACCACAATACAAATAAATAGGAGAACATATAGGACAAAGAAACACACGAATAATAGCTAACAAAAGGTACTAGGCTTAAAATTCAATACGCCAGACGTGCGTCTCGTCCACACAAGACCAACCAGTGACGCTTAGATGAAAAAAGTTTGAAAGCCAAAACAAGTACAAAGCTGAAAAGCACCGAGGACCAAAACTTCCAAAACGTTGCGCCTAACACGGCCAGGGTTTTCTGCCTGGGACAAGAACATCCTTATTATTTAGAATAGTCATCCATTGCACTATACGTTTGTCACATTGCCGTCATATGTATATAATATAATATTGCTTTGTTTTATCATTCTTTTTTATAGAATCTATATGCTTCAAAAATCATTTAATGAGTGGGCATTCAATTGATAATCCTCGCAATAATCCTCGTAAACATAAACATTAAAACTGGTATATTTTTTAAAAATTTCTTTTCCCCCTTATTTATAGATTCGGTTAGTTCATATCAAGCACTTTTCAGAATGAATAGTCGTTCTCGGGTTGTTCTTATGTAATCTCTTTCAAATTTTGGCTGATGTCATGAAATTTAAGTTATCTTGTCATCTTGACTATCGACATAAAATTATGCAAAGCATTCAATTAATCAACGATTAGCAATATTGAAGAGTACAATGCGACATTTAGAATAAACGTAAACGCATGAAAATGCTTGTAACAGCTCTATTGAATTATGGTGAAACACATGTATAGGTACTTCAACACTTACCCTAAACAATCATTTAATATGATCTTCTGTTGTGATAGTTTTGTTTTATGATGAAGTTGGAAACGATATCAATACCAGAAATATTATGTAACAACAAGGTTTTTTTCCTGGCAACATTCTACTCTCAGTTTTATTGGTTTGTGCGTACTTGCACTAACCATTTTATAATTATTATTAAGGAGGCATTACATGGGAAGAAAGACACTTTTGCTGTATGAAATATACTTTGAATTGCCCTACTCAGATTACGTGAAAAAAATTTCCTAAAGTACATCATGTGAAGAACTTTAAAAAAATTGATGGCATTTTTTGTCTGAAGATAACATTCAGTATTTACACAATAAAAATCACCAGGCTGGTAATTTTGTACGCCAGATGCGTGTTTCGTCTAGAAAAGACTCATCAGTAACACTCGAATAAAAAAAGTTACAAAACCAAATAAATTACGAAGTTGAAGAGCGTTGAAGACTCAAAATTCCGAAAGGTTTTGCTAAATACAACCAAGGTTGTATATTCCTTGGGTAGAAGATCCTTGATATTTCAAACAATTAAAAACTTTGTGAACAGTTTCTTTAAAAAATTGACCATATCAATGATAATCCATGTCACACACAAATGCATACATTATTAAATCAAATGCCAGGTAACGATTACTAGATCAGGCAGTAACTGGACTTTTGTAATTAATCGGTTTTGTGATACGTGCTCGGATACGTATTACTCTTATAATCGTTTAATTTATAGCAAAGGGAAGTGTAGTTAGATGAATAATTATACGTATATACATTGCCTTTGTAATCCTATATGACAGGTTGGCGTGTTGTTCTCCTAACTATGCATATATGTTGTTCCAGAGAAGAGGAATTCACAAAGAAGAAATATGCACCACAATGTCTGAGGTAGTTAACAAGGTTTAATTGGGCGTACCTTTCATATGAAAATGTCTGCAAATTGACTCATCTGGATTTTCAGTGATTCTAAAGATGCCTCATATTGATTAATTATACCTGTCTTACTTCTTAACTTTCTGAGGTTGAGCCTAGCTTTGTTCTCAAGTACTGCTCGATTTTATGAATAACGACTTTGAATTTTGAAAGCAGTACGTGCGTTCAGCAATGGCTGCAACAACTCGTTTTTTTAATCGTTGAATTCTATACTTTGCAGGATAATATAAATTTAGCTGTCAGTATACTATTTGCAAAATGTGAGATTGAGATCTTCGTAGCAGTATGAATTTTAACTTGTGGTTGAAGTGCATGTTGTTAAATGCACAATTTCTTAACTCGTTTATCCTTTTAGCAGTTAATCATTGCGGGGAAAGGAATATGAGACATTGAGATGCATTACTTGCATTTAGGTTCTTAGTGAAATAGCATTTTAAAAAAAATTACCTATTAGAATACAGAATATAGTTGTATTGTAATGCCTAATTCTGAAAAGCTTTTTATAGAAACTGTAAGAATTTATAAATTAAAGGAGTCGAAATTTCCCGTCCATATAGAACTTTCAAGCTCTACATATATATTTTACAATGGAAATCGTTTGCTTGATTTCTGTAATATTTTCACAAGGCCTACCTTTTACAATACTGTATCTTTAAAAAAAAAAGCAGCAAGATGTCAAAATGACTCAGTTTGCACGTGCAATTTGTCCAGCCTTCAAAACAATTTATCTTTTAGAGACAATAGTTGAAGAAAAAAACACTGAATAAATGTTGTGCTTCGGAAGCGCTTTCCTTGATTTACCTCAATGAGGAACGACCAAACCCAGTTATTTGAAAGCCATTCGTAGACACTAACTGATTTATATGACCAATAGTAACCTATAAGAAATAGTCAAATCCAACTAATAATTTTGCCTGAGGAAGTTGGAACCTTAGTTTCCAAGTTATTTCCTAATTCATCAAAAAGGGAATTTTTTAAACAATTAGGGTAAAGATATCGTCCAAATATAATCTGTATAGCTGAGAACTTACAACACTTAAACATAAAACGAACTTATGTTTTAGCACTTAGATAACATTTGTTTGCACTTTTGTGTAATCTATGTGAAAAAGAGGAGCTTTCATTTATTTAAGAAGTACTTGAAACATGCATACGGAACTTAATAATACTTTTTGTAGTTAACGTTTCAAATTGATTATAATGGAATTGTTATCTTTGCATTGTGCCAATATACTACAAACATCGTCATGTTGTAAATATTGAAGATTAAATCACATTTGCTATAGAAAAAAAACATGCCTTTGTTCAGCATGTTAAATGTGAATTTTTTATAACAATTAAAATAGCAACAAAATTTTCGAGTAATAAAGAATTGACAATAATTTGTGTATCAGCTGTGTACAAATAATAAAATTTAGATAATAACAAAATGTCCGAGAAACTACAATACATTCGTTTTATCAGGTAGTTCTTGGAAATGAAAACATTCCCCGGCAAATATCGACTATCAATAAAAAAAACAATCAATCAATCAATTCATCGACTATATCACCGAATGTGTACGTACATTAGCAACAGGTGCCACATGTGGAGCAGGATCTGCTTACCCTTCCGGAGAATCCCGAGATAATCCCCAGTTTTTGGTGGGTTTCGTGTTGCTCAGAATTTTATTTTTTTTTAATGTTTATTTTTTTTTTCACTATTTGACTTTTCGTCGTTTTTCTTTTTTGCAATGGTGTTGTCACTATGTTATCGGTAATTTTGAATTCCCGTTTAATATCTTTCGACCTCCCTTCTATACTAAGGATACGATTTTTTATTTCAAAACATACAACATGTCATTATTGCAATCTTTCCTTTCAACATCCATATAGAATTACATTTTGATTGGTAATTACCCAATTGGGCCCTGCTCATGACCAAAACTTTCTTTGTTCCAGCTCATGACAAAAACTACATCTGCAAACCTCCATATTTTTTACACTCAGAGCAATTTAAGGCTTAACACATGTATTTTATAGACATCGTTATATAATTGAAGACTTCGTTGACCGCTTAGCCTAGATGTCGTTTGGTTGCGTCTCATCTACGTGAATCCTATTTGTCATTGTATTCAACATATTGTATGATACATAGGGATAACGCATAATTAAATATTTTGCTTACAATATTTACAAAGAGACCTTTCGAGCATTTAAATCAATTGAGTATGATTTAAGAAGCAGTTCTGTGTTTTCTTTAAGACAACATTTCAACACTAATTAAAACATACAAGCTGTCAGTAATTAGTTTTATGCTGGTGCATAAAATTTAAGTTACTTGAAACTGCACTATCTGCAAATATTTGGCATGCATTAGAGTGATGACGGAAATGAGAAACGACTGTGTGTGTATTTTGCCAACTTAAATGTGAATTTCTAATGTTTTATAATTTTTCACTTAATTTAATCAAACCTAATACTCTCAGTTTTGTTTTGATTAGATTAAAGTCATTCCAAATTAGATATAGATGGAACAATAAATGGCTGCTAAGGTTAATAATGATGTTTGAAAATTCCAAACGTTGATAAATTAAAACCCGTACTAAAGTTACAGCATAAGATGATTATTCCGAAACCAATACTGTTCGAGAACACAAATAACAAGCTTAGGCATTACAAAACGTTCGAGTTTTGTATGCGCAATGAAATGTCTGTTTACTGTAAATATTTCTATACATTTTAGTATGATTTTGTTACGACTAAACAGTCTGAAATTTATGCATTTTCTTATCTAACAACGTGTTTAATAAAATCCCATGCAATAATTCCTATCGTGTAAACTTGCAATGATTTGCAACTGTTTATAAATATAATTGATATTATTACATAATATATGTATTCTGATTCCGAAGAAGTAACTAGCCTTTGTTTTCATGTCTGAGTAAATGGTTTCATTGATAAGTACAACTTACCCTCGGTTGCAGAACCCTCGTATGACATCTGTACCTCATGGGTTCCACTTTTGGATGGCTTATATTGTACGATAATGGACCCATCGTCACAATCCTTGATTTCTGGAGCAAGTCCTTCGGCTGTCGGCATTTTGTACTAAAATCGAAAAATGTTTTTATGTTTAATGATAATAAAGTAAATAAAGAAACAAAAAAGTAAGAGATGTTCGGTGTTCAATAACCTAATCCTCATATACCATGACCTTTATATATTCAGAATGAGGTTTTTATTCGAAATGCTTGTAAAAAGGATGTTGCGCAAAACGTATTGTACCGAAATGAAAATCAGCTGAAGTGAAATATGATACAAGAGTTGTTACACAAGCGAGAAAGTTGAAAGATCTTTTCGAAATGGATAAAGAGGAGTGGGATAAAAAGTCTTAACCGCAATTAACTTGACAACTATTACCTAATAGAATTGAAAGTGTTCTATAATGTTACGTCAGGATGGTGTACTTAGACAATTCTAAGTACCAAAATGAACCGTTTTTTTGTTAATCCATACTAAGTTTGTCTATGTTTGATCCTTTGTAAATGCTCCAAATGTTTTATATGTACATAGGACTTCCAGGTTTATGACCTCAGGTTAACTAAAAAAAGCTCCAATATATATAACAACGTGCCGTACATAGATATTCGGCAGTTGATTTTTATGTTTTGACTTTGTATTGTTAACAGCTTCTCCTCACACATTAAGCAAAACATCCTTCACCTGTGCCACGTGTTCACTAAGCTTATCTTTTATTTATCTTATCAAAAACAATTTTTTAATCAAACCAATATCACACAGATACATAATTTAACCGAATATATTGTCTTCATATCATTGCTTTTATTTAAAACATCGAGTTTCTATTCATCGCATCAACACAAAATAATATAGAGAGTAATTTGTTTTGAAATTGCATGTTGATAATATCATCATATACGATATTGAAAAGTCGTTATTCAAAAACGTTAAAAATTACAAGTAATGAATTCTTCATGCTTATCAATTTCATATCAGATAGCTTGCGTGTATTCATATTTTTTTCATTAACCTTACGCCATTTTTATCTTATCACCTGTAAATCATTCTTCATTTTAAAAAAAAAAGTAATTTGGCAGCAGATTTTAGCTTTCTTGTTTCATCGAGAGCCAAACTTTAAAACATACGATAGTGGCTTTATAAAGTTAAAACGGATTTAATGGTAACTATCGTCATTAGATAACCCTTGAGGCGGGGTAAGTATAGTGGTGTATTGACAAACAGTTAAAACCGAGGCAGTTGGTCAAAAGGTGTCTGACTGTACAATTGGTTATAAGATCACCGATGATACAGTTGTAGTAATATTTGAAGGAGATTCAGGCATTTTTATTACACATGAATGTGACAACATATTTTTTTTTTTGAAACATTATGTATGTATTGTTTTGATAAGTTTAAGCTTATGAGCAAGAACAAACATCTTTAGCCCAAAAGATATTTAAATTACATCATCATTTTTGAAAGGATTTAATAGAATAAAAAAAAGTAGGTCAAGGCCTCAAATATATAGATCAAATCAACAAAGATGACACAAGTAGGCAGTTTTGACAGTTTTATATGCATAGATATAATTATATTCTTCTTCGATGGATCAATCTTTAGGGAGGAAAGCATATATTCTAAATGAAATTATGTAACATTTTATTTTGTAATTAAAACGCCAATGTGATGATGATGATGGATGGCTGCTTAACGTCATCATCACATTGGCGTTTTAATTACAAAATAAAACGCCAGAGGCGGATTTAGGGGGGGGGGGGGCAGGGGGCCCGGGCCCCCCCCCCCCCCCCTTTTTTGGGAAAAATTTGGTTGATTATATAGGGAATCACTGAAGCATGACTGGAGCGGGCCCCATCTTAGGCAGTCAGTGGGCCCCCACTTATGAAAATTTCTAGATCCGCCACTGAACGCCAATATGAAATCGGATCATTTTATCATATCTACTTCAACACCCATGGTTTGTGATTATCTAAGGCATTATAATTGGTACATTTACATAGTTTACTATTTTCGAATTTGGCATTACTTTCGTAGTTTTTCCTGAACAATAAATTTGATCGACAGATTTGCTAATTGTCCAAGTAAAACAAAACTATACAAAGAACAAGTTTTCAATTTATATCATTATCTTTCTTTTAATTACGTCAGCGTCATAACAAGAGTATTGCATATATCTAACAAGCTTCAAGCAATCGTTTTGTTTTGGGGTTTTTTGGTTTGTTTTTGTTTCTGTCAGTTCAAGAAGTCATCACTCAATAATGTGTTAATCAACCCCTTGCTGAGAAAACGAAATTTGCTGACAGTACGTTTGAATGGATTCCAAACCAATGCTTACATAACTAAGTGATTATACATTGTTATTATACTGTAATGTCCTTGGCATGCAAGGTGTCTACATCAACTTTGCAGTTCTGCAAATGTTTGTTCGGTTCAAAGCAACACTACTTTTACTTTAAACAAGTGTCTTGTCTTACTTTAAACAGTGTCTTGCCTTACATTAAACAAATGTCTTGTCTGAACCAAGAGGTTCTATTCCTAATACAACCTTCATGTCTGAACTTTTGAGAATGTAAATTTAATGCATGTAATACAATTGAAATCTATGCGTATATGACATCAAAATTAATTTCCAATCATTATGATATCAAGCTAGCTGACATCTTCTGTTTTAAGATACTTATATAAAACTGGAGTATATATTCTTAATTATACATTTACAGACAGGTTAAAATGTGAATTGTAAAAAATCTTCGTTCTAAAATATGATTTTCAAATTCAAAATTGACAGCTTCGAAATTTACTTATCAGGAGGTACCTGCTGTTTAGGTCCAGTTTGACTAGTCGTAAGGATTAAAAAGCACATGTTGTAAAAAGAGGTATAATGATGGCATAACGTTCGTAAGAAATACATATACACAAGAACTATGTTGGCATTGGCCTTATACGTGTATACAATAGTATTAGACATAAGTTTATAACCCTTCCAGAATATCTGATACAAATATATCACTTCCGGTTTCAGTGGTAAAGCTTTAGTGTTAAGCATTGTCTTCGTATGTGTCTTTTCTTGTTAGACTGCTTTTGCCCGCTTGCGACGTGGTGTTTTGAGTTGTCCATTCGTGTATTGTCCTAAAGAATTCATGTTTTTTATTTCCATCTAAAAACATTTCTATAAGTAACAAAAAAGGAATGTGATACAACTCGCAATACAATGCAGTGTTTTGATTACATAACATTCGAAATATTTAAATGTACATAAGTGCCATTTTTGTTTTGGCATTACACTTGTTATACTTATCATGTACTTGAATGTTATTTATACAAAATGGATACTAATGTTAAATTTAGCAAAACAGGTGATTACATGCACACGAAGCTTAAATGTATCTATGAAAAATTCAAATAGTCAGACACATTGTTACATGTATCAACAATAGCCAAGTATGGGTTTTTATGAAAGGTGTATCAAATTGCTGATACCAAAATACGAAGGAATCAAAATAAAGGTCAAGGTCAAAATAGGGATTTTTGTTTTTGGTATATTGACCAACCTTGGGTTCTTTTTTTTTGTTGCCATATAAGAAAACTTTCAATGACTATTATGGTAAATATATGTCGACATTAAAAAGAGAAAAATAATTTGAAAGTGTTTAATTTTCAAAATTATAAGCAGTTTCTCAATCTACAATATTTATTATAATCAATCTTTAAAATTTGTTCCAGATAAAAGTTACGCACGTATATGTAACATAAGTTCCGCTTTAAATTAACCGATGCGAATAAGATAGAATTGATGGGTGAAGCAGATTTATGCTTAGGTTTATGAGGTGCAAAAATAAATAAATCAAATCTGCAATCCTAGTTTCAACAATAGATATCACAAAGGAATTTGATATACAATATATTATATCATATGATATATATCAAAATCCATGGGTAGTATAAATAGTAGATCTCCAGAGACTAAAAAATTCAAAAGATTATATTTCAGAGACAGAAATGAAACTTTTAACAATATATAGTATGCTTGCATAATGGTATTCCTTAAAATAAGTGTACTTTCCAGTTAAGAATTTTTAAAAATAAAAAAAGAATTTGTTTGAGGACACGAATGCCCCCGCTCAAGCTTTGCAATTTTCCAAGTTAAAAAGGGAATAACTCTACAAACTTTTTAAGGTAAATCACTCATTGCCCAAATTTGAACTCTGTCTGCTTCTTGTAGTAAAAAATGAAGGTAAAGTGCTGCTGTATCATTGGATAAAATCAATGATGCATATCTTGGTTTGTTTTTTTTTTTTCATCCGTATATTTTAAGGTTTCACATGAAAATAACCGAAATTCATTAAAATTCGCATAAAAAAAACTTAATATCTGCACTTATGCATCTTGTTGACTCTTTGACTTGGGTTCCAGTGCATCATTGAAGTGTGTTTTATCAAATACCAATCGTAAAAATAAGACTATATTTTGAAATTTAATGCTCTACTCTATCTATTTAATCTATAACAAATCAAATGTGTGATATTAATGCACTTCCCAAGCAAGCAAAGTGTTGAATGAGTATTTCAGTATATGCATAAACCGCGTGGACAGACACAAAAGTACAAAACCGAATCTCAAGGGACTAAAATTTCTAACCAGCAAGCAAAAATTCACATTTTATTTGATTCATGTCTGGTTATTAGAAGAAAACGGCTTTGTTCAAATACCTGATTAAGCATCATACTTTTATCGCCAGACATTACGGAATGAGAAATAAAATGGCAAAATGGCAAACTATACTCTCACAAGCTGGTGTAATTAAATCCTATACAAAATATAAAACATGAAAACTGACATACAGAATATGATATCTTATATAAATCATACAGTTACATAACACTAAATGGTAAAAAAAAAATTAAAGAGTATTAACCCTATAAATTAATTATCTTTTGAATATTAGAAAAGGGTGTAATAGGGAAATATAAAGGATTCATTATTTACATTTTGTGTATCTCTTTATTATTTATTAATCTAAACCAAAAAACAAAAATGCGACGTTACACCCTCATATGATGTGCATAAAG